ATCTGTCCAGAAGGCTGGGATACCTGGCTTCCTGGTTGTCTGGAGCATGCACAAATGATATGGAACTCCATACTATCAGCCAAAAAAAAAAAACAGAACTCCATGTAGTATGGCTTGATCTTGCCAACGCATATGGGTCAGTCCCACATCAATTAATAGGAATGGCTCTTGACTTTTTCAATTTCCTGGCAAGATTAGGGTAATCATAATGAAGTATTTCGACTCAGCTTTCATGAAATTCACCGTTAAAAATTATACTACCAAGTGGCAACCACTTGAGATCGGTATCATGATGGGCTGTGTGATTTCCCCGCTTTTTTTCGTTTTGGCCATGGAACTGATTTTACGAGGCGCATCAACCACAGCCAAAGGAGTGATGACTGAAGAACAGCTAGTCCTTCCTCCTTCTAGGGCTTTTATGGATGATATCACAATTTCGTCTCTTCTAAAATTGATGCCAATAACCTGTTAGAAAAGTATCACGATCTTTTCATATGGGCGAGAATGAAGGTTAAGCCCAAGAAAAGTCGAAGCCTGTCATTAGTTAGGGGATCTGTTAAGGAGATTCACTTTAAAATTGGTGATGACACGATACCAACAGTTAAGGAAATGCCAGTAAAGAGCCTCGGACGGCTATATACAATCCCACTGACTGATCGACATCGGGGGGTACGGAGGTTCATAAATCAACTCTAAAGGGTCTAATTTCGATCGATAGAACCTTTTTGCCTGGCAAAATGAAAGCCTGGTGCTATCAACATGGTCTATTACCCCGCCTTTTGTGGCCTCTGCAAATGTATGAAATTGCATTATCTCGTATTGAGCGAATTGAGCAAGTGATCAATAAGTACTTGCGTAAGTGGCTTGGAGTTCCACCTTGTTTTTCGAAAGTGGGCCTATATACCAACTCCGGACATCTGCAGCTCCCTATACAGTCATTGTTGGAGGAATTCAAGGTTGGGAAGGTACGCCTTCATATGATGATGAGAGACTCAGCTGATGATTTCATACGGAAGGCGCATCCAGAGATTAAATCTGGTACAAAGGGGTCAGCTGCAGAGGCCACACAAGAAGCAGAAACCAGCCTGCGAATCAGAGATATCATGGGCGTGATTCAGATCCTATTTTGAAAATAAATAAATAATTGTTATAATTCTTTTTCTATCCTTTGCAAATGATTCAAATTTTAGTATGTTATTATGGATGATAACGACTACCAGTTGTCAAAATTTCAGCTTTTCACAGTTGTTATTTCTAACAAATATTAGGTTTTAAAATTTTGTCCCTTAGTTTTGGACGCTACTGTATATATATACAAACATATAACTATAAGTACAGATATATTCATATATGCACACAAACACACACACATTCAACTATACATAGATATGTATATATATATATATATAGATATGTATATATATATATATATATATATATATATATATATATATAGATACACCTAGTGAGCCAGACAAACCTACCTAGGTTTCACCTAAACGGATCGTCAGGGAAAGTTTGGCCAAACTTTCCCTGACGATCCGTTTAGGTGAAAACTAAAGGTAGGTTTGTCTGGCTCACTAGGTATATCTAGGTCTGCTCTACGGTTGTATTGAGCTCTTTTGTTAGTTAGTTGTTACTCGTATCAGGGTTTTTTCTTTGGGCTTCAGACCTGCATCTGTGCGATTTTTTTGTCGGCAGAAGTTCATGTTTGTAGCTCTTTCTTTTTTTGAAAACCTTTTTTTCCCTCGAGACTGATTTGATTAGCAAATCAAAAATTCGAGGTTTTTTTCGAAACGAGTCTAGTTATCTATATTTTATATATATATATATATATATATATATATATATATATATATATACCCCCACATACATACACAGAAACGTATACATACATACAAAAGTAAATGCAAATACAAATATATACATGCACACACATACACACACACACATACATATATATATATATATATATATTTATATATATATATATATTTATAGAATCATATACATATATATGCACCCATCAGTAAAGACGCAAACACACATGTGCAGACACAAACAACACAATACATGTACACCAACACACACCCACATTGACTGGAGGACCATCAGGTAATAAAAGTAATAACCTACTAAATTTACAGTAACATAGCCTTATTGTTGAAAGTATTACTACTCTTATATTAAGTTAAATTTATAGCTATGTCTACAGTTAAGTGTGAGTAATTTTGTGTATATTGTCGTTTTTTTTTTTTAATTGTTGTGAACATATTTCCTGTCTCGTCACTTTTTTGCATGTTTATATATCCAAATATCTCTGCGTGTTTGTGTATTATAATTTGATTGTGTATGTATTGTCTTTTTTTGCAAGATGCGTATATAGGTGTATATGAGATATTTATGTTTGGGAATTTTCTTTTTATTAGATGGTGTTATTTTTATTTTTCTGTTCATGTCTGTATGTCTTAGTCTCCTTTTTTCCTTATGTTGTTCATTGATGAATGTTTGTTTTTATCTATTCAACCATTTTTATCTATATATCTTTGCTTGTATAAGTTATATTTTAATAGGATGTTAGAATTCGTTCAATAACACTTTCAAAATTGAATATTTCCTGGTGGGTGTATGGGTGTATCTTTGTCAATGTATGTATGTGTGTGTATGTGTATGCCTTTGAAAGTGTGTGTGTGTGTGTATGATCACATGTGTGTGCCTTTCATTGTATGTTGTCATTTTTTTTTTTTAAGGGTTGTGAATATATTTCCTGTCTCGTTGCTTTTTTGCGTGTTTATATATCCAAATATGCCTGCGTGTTTGTGTATTATAATCTGATTGTGTATGCATTGTCTTTTGCAAGATTTCATCCTTCCCAGCCCATGTCTTCACTCCAAATGTATCTAAGTTGTAACGGATTTCAGAGTAGCATTAGATCTTAATGTTTATTCCAAGTTAATTTCAATAAATAGAAAAACATATGTATTTTTAACTCAGTTTCTTTTTAAATAATTTTATAAATTTAAACTTAATTTAGATTAAATTTAAAATTGGTAATTTTTAATTTTATAGTATAATTTAATATTTATTAGTTAGAATGAATTCTATTTTAGTCTAACCCTAACATTAAAGCATTAAATAATTATTATAACCAAAATTTGTTGCCAAGTTTTTTGAATTCTCATATACTTGTATTTTGATTGGTCATTCCAGCTTATGTAACAGCATTTCCCCTGGCGAGGGGTGTTTGATTGATTTGAACCTTTTAAAATCCTTTATTATACATTCAACACCATCATTTGATAAGACACCAGATGTGTTGAAACAAAATGGCTATTTTTGTAGAGATTTTATAACATATTTATTTTATAATTTTCAAATAAATAACTATATCTACTCTGTATTAAGCACTCTTTTATGAATAGTGTTTGTTGGTTATAGGAATTTATTTCATATACACCAATCCTATACTTGTATATATATATATATATATATATATATATATATATATATAATATTTAGTACTCAGAGTAAACACATTTTTGACTCTTCCTTGTTAACATGAATGTTGTCTTTTTATTACCGTAGAGAATCCTATTGAAAGTATTTAAAATCACACTTTACAAGAGAGTAGTCATAAATTATACATTTCTTGACTTCTTGATGAATTTTACTGTTTTAATTTTTTTTCTATTTTTAGCTGCCAGTTTCTAAAATCAGTTATGATTTTTTTGTTCCTTTATTATTTTTAAGGGCTATTTCATTTTAGTAATCAACCAAAATTTGTATTTTGTTCTTAATATTATTTCTAATAAAAACATATGATTTGAAAAAGTACTTAGCCATAAAAATGAAGGAGAATGAAAGCTTTCATTGATTCATAGGAAAATCAAGAACAGTTAATGGTTCTGAAGCATATAAACAGAAAACATATGTAAAATCATCTTTGATGATGAATGCCTGCTCCTATTTTTATTATTCAAACTTATACTTATTAAATACAACACATTTATTTTAATTCATTTAACAAAGTAAATAAACTTTATTTGTAATGATAATCTCTTCACTTTTAAAACAAATTTGCATTGAACCTTATTTAATGTTACTGAAATGGTAATGAAATGATTAATGGATTTGTGGATAATTTATGTTTTAAAGAATTTAAAGTTACTGAAACCTTGTGCACACCATAAGATATCCAGGTAACAATGAGTCATGAATAATGAAGGTAACTTGAGACATCACAGACAATATGCTTTAAGAGAGAGTAAGAATTATTGGTAGTTAAGTAGGTAGATATAAACAAGCATATTAATGTATAAATAAAAAGTGTGAAACCACAATTTTAAAAAAATCATCAGTGCAGTTTCTAAAAAATAGCCTTTTTTAAAAATAATTTGCTTTTAAATTGCATATATTATTTTTAATAATTCCATGATTATGCAATTTGTCCTTAATGTTTCAGAAGATTTCAATGCATAAAAATTTCTAATTATTTCCCATTTGAGTTAAATAAGAGAGAGAAAAAATTTCTAAAAATCACAAAATACAAAGTAAATAATTTAAAAAAATGTTTAACATTTCAGTGAAAATGATAAGCTCTTATGACAACAGAATCATCAGAATAACAATGGCACCTTTTAAGCATCAATTATTTTACTAAACTTATGAACATTTGCATTTAGGATTTATATGATTTTTTATCTAATCTAACCTATTTCTGGACATCAAGAATTTTTGGATTCTTTTTATAATATTTTGGGAAATAAACTCTTTCCCAGCCATTAATAGATATAATTATCTTGTCAATAAAATAGATAATTATCAGTGCACATGTTTTGAACTTATTTGATCCATATATCATCATTTTTATTACAATTTACAGTTACAATTTTTTAGTTCAAAAAGACTTATTAATATTAGTTTTTACTAAAGTTATATGAAAATATTGCTGCATGATCTAATTGTTTTCTAATTTTTTCTTTCATATGATTGCTCGATAGAATCTGTGGCATTCAACATATCCAGCGAGCAACAACTGATTTGGAGAAGCAGCAAAATTTGTTCCAATCTTTTTATTTTGTCATTGTCACAATCACAACAGTTGGATATGGAGACTTTTATCCTGACTATTGGCTTGGACAACTTTTTATGCTGCTCATGATAGGAGTGGCTTTTATCTTTCTTCCCCGACAAGTAAGTTAGAGAATGAACGCAAAAACAATTCATCAGCATCTGCAAATCTTATATGTACTTCTAAATATATCTTTTTCAATTATTTATAGATAGCCATGAAAATTATTTTTTCTATATAAAACTTTTTAGTAGCTGTTGTAAATTGATTATATATTAATGAATGAATATTGGAACATTTTTTTGAGTGATGAATTTTTTAATTAAAAACTATCAGAGGTTAAATTATATACAGGCTTATATGGCTTCTTAATCTACTAGATTTTAATAAAATGTTTCAAGCTCAAACATAACACAAGGTTATATTTATGAAATTAAGATTAAGAAATGAATGAACTAGTTTGGACAACAAACATATACTACAACTGGCACTTAACTGTAACATTTAAATTTTTTCTATTAATTAATTAGTATGTATATTGAGAAAATTATTGCAGATTTTTTGCATTTTATCAAGAACCTCTAAATATAGAGCAGGTGCACCAGAGCAGATATGGCAGCAATATTCAGTGTATGGATAGATGGTAGATTTATAAATGTGTAAAATAGATTCTGGAAAGAAAAATTGTCTAGCATGATACAGTGAACCAATTTTTCTAGCAATTAATTCAATATAATCTTTCCACTTCATGTCAGCAGAAAACAAGAAGGTACAATGAGTCACTCTCCTGGATAGAAAGCAAAAAGGGTTCTCTCAGATGATTAAAAGAAAGCAGCTTTGTTTTGGAAGCATTAAAATTAACAAGCCATTCCATGTCCCAGTTAACAACGGATTGTAGGTCATTTTTGAGATCAGCTGCCAATTTATCAAACCAATCAAACTTACTATCAAGACAAGGGTAAATAGATACCAAGTTGAGAAATGATGACATCAGGAATGTTGTTGATGAAAATTAGGAATAATGAAGATCCAAGGATAGAGCCCTGCAAGACACCTACATTAATCCCAAAAGATCTAGAAGGGTAGCCATTCAAGACAAATTTCATTTCACAATTTGATAAAAAAGACTGAATTGGATCAAAAATTCATCCAGAAATACCATAACCTTTCAACTTATGAAGAAGCCCAATATGCCTGTCAAACACCCTTGAGATATCCAAAGCATCAGCATGAGCTTCACCATTCTTATCTAAATCTTGATAGACTCTTTCAGCAATAATCATTAATACATCAACAGTTGACCTAGAAAAGTGAAAGCCATATTACTTATTTGAAAGAAGACCCTATGAGGTGAGATGCTTAACTAATTCAGAGTTAATTAGAGCCTCTAGCATTTTTCAAAATGAGAGGGCCAATAATTAGAAGGATCAAACAGTTTGCCTGAATTATTTAAAACTAGAACTAAAGAAGAGGATTTCCAACAAGCAGGAAGCAGCAAGATATTTATTCTGGAGCTTAGACAGAACAGGAGGTAGTTCAGGAGCACATTTCTTAAGGACTATTGCAGGGATACCATCAAGTCAACATGCTTTGATGGTATCCAGTTTAGAGATGATAGCAGAAACCATGGATAGAGTTATATACAGAGCACTCAATAGAGTCATAGTTCTAAGTGGAAAATCAGGCAAGTATATGGGAAATAAATGGGTAAATCTACCATTTGACTGAGAGACTAAGCAACAGAAAAATTAAAAGTATGAATACCAGCAACGTCTGTAATATTGGAATGATTAAGCTGCTTGACATGGTTAGCATTAAAACTATCAAACACAAAAATGTTTGCAGATAAATGTAGAGAGAGCTATTTCCATATTATCAGAAATTTTATTTAATATATTACACTCTTGAGAAGAAGGAGAGTGATAAAGGAAAAAGAGATTGCTAACAGAATGCAATAATGAAATGCACATGAAATAATTATCTGGAGACTCAAAAGACAATTCCATTGCAGTTGGGAGATTTTTCTAAATATAAATACCATGACCATGACCTATTTACTTTTATAATAATCAAAACTTCAAGCTTGCAACATTTTACCTGGCAATTATCAAACTTTCACCAAATAGGCCACACTTCTAATCAAGATTAAATGATTTCCAATTAAAATACTGTAAAAAACATTTTGTTTTAATTCTGCTCAAAAAACTTTCATCCTATGAGTTTTTATCATTAATGGAAATTTACATAATGAATAATACTTAATTAAATATTAGAATAAGAAAAATTGCAATAAAAATTAATCTTTTAATTCTTGAATCTTTTTCTTCCTGTGTATCTTGAACATATGAATTTTTATATTTTAAGCTTGAAAGTATTGCTTCCACATGGATTGACAAAGGAAAAGAAGGGCGAGACTTCAGTGCGGCTCAAGCTAAATCATCTAAACATGTTGTTGTCTGCATTGCTTCAATTTCACCAGATATTGTCATGGATTTTCTCAATGAATTTTTTGCCCATTCTGAATTGGAGGTAAATTTCTTATGAAAAAAGTTTTTCAAAATTATAATGTACATCAAATAAATTTCATTTAGTCTCCCTAAATTATTACTTGATTATAGTTTAAAGAAAATAGTGAAGATTTTAAACATTAAATATAAATTTACAGCCTGAATTTAATAATTTAAGATTAAATTTACCACATTTGTTAATACAGAGAAATATAATGCTAATGTAGGTTATTTTTATTTATATATCATTATCATCATTATCATCAGTCCTTTGACAGCTTCAATCATCAGTGGGGGAAACTAAGGACAGAAGAAACAGACAACCTCATCCAGGATGATCTCTTGATGGTGGCCCTTAAGAGTTCTGGCATTGTCATATCTGTCCATTCTTTGATGTTGCCTGACCAGTTCTTGCATTGCCATCCCCACTTGTATCCACCTTCAACAGTGTTTTGCAGAGGAAGTTATGCTGTGTGACAGTTAAACCATACCATCTTCTGACACTTAATAGTGGCAAGAAGAGATTCCTGTTAGCCCATGTGACATTTGACCTTGCTCCAGACATAGTCATTTGTTTTATGCTCACAGTAAGAGATGCAGAGGAACTTTCCAGGCATTTGGCTATGACCAGCAATTTGTAGAACTTGACATTGAAGCTTATGTTACTCTTCCATATCCTTTCCATCCTGGTTATTGCTGCTGTGGCTGTGGTGACCTGTGTGTAGATTTCTGAAATACAGGTGCTATCTTTTGACAAAGTATTTGAAGCTGGACACTTCCTCCAGTGGTTCACATGATGACACTGACACTGGTGTTGCTTGTGCTATTCATCATTACTTTGGATTTCTCTGTGTTGAGTTCTATTCCATATTCACTGGCTCACTCAACAAGTTTGTTGGTCAAGTCTTGTAGCTCACTGTTACTGCTCACCATAAGGTCAATATCATCTGCAAAACACAGATTACAGACACCAATAGAGATAGAAGTGTTGTGGTCATGGAGGGTTTTCTGCATAATTCTCTCCAGAAACAAGTTGAAGAGTGTTGGAGAGACTAGGTATCCCTGTCTAACACCAATAATTGTCAGAAAGAAATTTCCCATTTGGTTACTCAACTACACTAGTGGCATGGGCATAAAGGGCCTGGGTGACTTTTATGAGCCATTTTTCTATGTTGAATCCTCATGCCATACCCGTTCAAATCATTTCTTAAAATCAATGAAATTGTGAAACAGGTCCCTCTGGTTTTGCAGATGTTTCTCAATGATGAACCTACAGTTGAAGATTTGTTCCACTGTGCTCCATTGGGCTCTAAAACTTACCTGCTCTTCTGACAGTAGTCCTTCAACTTTGAATTTCAGATGGTTGAGGATAATATGACTTTGCTGGGGTGGCTGATCAGGCTTATTGCTCTATAATTTTGGAATTGCTTGAGATTACCCTTATTTGATAGGGCTATCACCAGTGAATGGATCCACTCTTTTGGCCACTTCTTCTGTCAAGGCCATAACAGCTCTATGCTGTTAGAGCCTTGACAGTTTCTTCACCTCCATTTTTCACCAGTTCAGGGCATACATTGTCTACTCCAGGTAACTTGCCAGGCTTCAGGTGCATTATTGCTGCTTCTACCTTCTCCTTCGGTTGGTTACTGGTTGGCTTGCAGTAAAGAGTTATCTAGATAGAGCTTGTAATTGTACAGGTCATTGCAGTATTCAGTCCATCTGTTCAGAAATTCTATTTTGTTAGTTTGTTACCATATTTTTCATCTATGACAGCTGTAGTGAGGGATTTTAGGTTATTGTAGGCCTTCTTGCTGTCACTTGATTTTATGCCCTTATCAAGGGTGCTGCACTGATCCTCTATCCACTCCTCTTTGGCTGCTTGTAACTTCTTCCTGACCTCTTTATGCACATTTTGGTACTGTGTCTGAGTTTCACCACTTGAATTCTTCTTTCCTCTTAGCTCTCACTTATTGTCACACAAATTCTGGACTTCTTTCCTGATTCATAGCTTAATTTTCTTTATGTCTTTCCCAGAACTTCTTTAGCTATTGTGTGTAAGACTTCTTTGATGTCAAATATGAGAATGTCTACCACTGTCAAAGAGGTTGAGGGCTGCAAACTTGCCACTGACTTGGGCCTGAAAAACTTCTGTGACTTCAGGATCCTTCAGCCTCTCATGATCAAAGCAACAACTCTTAGTTTTCAGCTTCAGTTTGAAGGTTATCATCACAATGTAATGATTGCTGCTGATGTCTGCACCAGGAAATACTTTGTTTTCACCTTTTGTTGATGCTGGACTTGAAGCAGTGCAGAACCAGAATGAAGTCAATCCAGTTGTGGTCTTGCTTGTTAGGTGAGTGTCAGGTTGTAGCTCAAGACAGTTTATGGGGATGTAGAGTATTGGCCAAGATGAGGTGGTAGCTTCTGGTAAACTCAAGCCATCTAAGCCCTTGCCATTGTCTCCCTGATGCCAAATCTCACAAATGCTCCTTCCCAGTTCTAGTATACACCTGGGCCTACTTTGGCATTCCAATTCCTGTGTACAATGATGATGTCTTTCTTGGGAACTTCCACTATGGTGGATTCTATAAATTCATAAAACTTTTTGACATCCTCATCATCATGGTCTGAAGTTGGAACATAAACCTGAATGATAGTAATGTTGTACAGTTTTGGTGATACATGCATGGAGATGATTCTACTGGAAAAATATGATCATGTGAAATATAATCATCTGCCTAAATTTTAAAAACAGAATTTGAAAGTTTAACTCTTCCTTTGGATTTTCATAATAAAAATTATATTACACAGAGTTTGATAGGTATACTTTGAAAGATAAGATTCTCACTGCATTAATGACTGTTTTTCTTTTAATCAATGCAGAACAACAATTAACATATTTCAGATAATGGATGGAGAAAAACTGAAAAACTGAAACAATCTTTTATCAAGCATCCTGAGGCATTTCTCTTTTATAATGCTTGATTATATGCAAGAATAAATCTACAAAGTGATCTACAAAGTGATCAACATTGTGATTAATAGTTTGTGAAGTTGTAACAAAGATTTCTGTGGTGTTTAGAAAGACAAGAAATTAAAATTCTTATCACAATATTACTTAAAGGAAACTAATGTACCTTGAGACAACTTCTAATCTCTAATTGCTTACAACAAATATATAAAATGATTAAAGTTTTTTGAAATATGAATCAATGAAAATAGGTTAACTGCAAATATAATTCATAAATAAATACATAATCTTTGACAACATTCATTAAGCTTTGGTTTGATTGTATATAAAATAATTTTCCCTGTAAGAAGTATATCTGAAATTACTTATATTGCTAAAAAATAGAATTCATCATTTGCAAAAAGACAGTTCTTTCAATTTACCCACAATTTAGGTTAATATAAAGATTAATTAGCAATAATTAATAGGTAATAATAATATTATATGTTAATTTTATATTCATGTGCTTCATTGGTGCTGAATGAAAATTTGTCTGGAAAATATATCAAATATAAAAATAAAAGTTCTGTATAATTTGTTAACATCTATTTCTTGTCTGTGTCATTGTATATTTTCTTATGTTCTTGTACAACAAAGTGTTGATAAGTTCTTGGTCCAATCCATTTCCCAAAATTTGATCAAATTTGTTTTAGAATCCTTTCAGTAGTCTTCCATAGCCTTATTTTAAAATATTTTATTCTCTTTAAACAAATGAATTCTACTTTTTTCCATTCATATTCTTCCCCATCATCATTTCTTTTATTTTTCATTTCATTTTGTTTAAAGTTTGGTATCCTATTTTATTACATTTAATAAAATATTTTTTGTGCTTTTCATTTTCTATAAATGCAAACATCAGTCCAAGTACTAAATAATAAAGGCTGTAACAACAGTGATTGTTCTCAGTACAATAAGTCATTCTGAGAAATAACGACATTTCACAAAATAAAAAACCAAAAGTTCAACAAATGCAATCTTTTTGAAGTCACTCTCAGCAGTTACAAGAAATTCTTCATTCAACCTAAAATCCATAGTAACAAAAAAAAAAAGAAATTGAAACAAATACATTAATGTCATTAATATCATAAAGGTAAGCATGAGAGAACAAACAAAACAACATTTACTGCTTGTGGGCAATGGAAGCAACTTGGAGGAAAAGTAGAGTTGATAGGGTCTGAAGTTGCTGTGTGTCCGTGTGTGGGGGCGCACCCCCACCCTGTTGACTGAGATCACTGGTGGTGCCATTAATAGCTTGACTGTTCCCTGTGACACTGTTACAGTGTCATCATCAATAAAGGCATATGGGGTGGAAAATGACTCATTATTTTTTTCATGTTTTTTCTTTTGGTATTTGGCATTGGCTCTTTTTATATTGTATTTTTATGGGTTTTTTGTGGGTATTTGTTTTGTGAGCAAAGAGCAACTTTATTTTTATTTTTGATTTCTTCGTTTTCACATCCAGCCAACATGTAGCATGAATCAGAAAGACATCTTTGAAATAGAGTATAACATTAACTTCAAAAGATTTTTGAAAACTTTTTTGTATTCTGATATGAGGAATTGTCATCGTACATTGGTTTATTCAAACTATTGTTTACATGTTGAAATTACTGATGATTTTGGAAAATTAATCTAAATAGTTTTATAATGCCACAAAATCTATAAGAACCACTGAAAACCTCAACAGAAGTTATGGCAAAAGACTTTAACAGAAAATTTATAATGAATAGACAATACTTAGAAACATTTAAGGCTTGAATCCTTTTACCTGGTACCTTTTCAACCTTCTCTACAAGAATATTTTTCATACTATTGTTCATACTATTGTGGAAATATAAAATATAAGAATAATCCAAAGTGTACCAAGATATAGGTGGGTGTAAGGGCAGCACAAAATAGATTTGGAAATACATTCAAAATAAATCAATTTAAGTAATGTACCTCTCCAAAAAGGGATATTGTGGGGAATTTCTTTTACTACCTTATACCATGTTTTTAGTTCTAAAGTTATCCTTCCACATAAGGAATAACAAACTCAATGTAAAAGTCAGTGCATTATTGATTCAGTTTTAAAAAGGCATCTTTCAATAATGAATATTTGATGAGTGAATATTTTTTTAAATATCTCCTTCATTTCATGGAACCTATAATTCCTTTACTTGCAGAGTTATATTGTTGTGTTCATGGCCTCTTCAGACCTCAGTTCCAATATTAATGCCATATTGAAAGATCCTAAATGGTTTCAACGAGTACATTATTTAAAAGGTTCTGCCCTGAAAGATGCTGATCTGAACAGAGCCAGGTATTGATTTTTTTCTTTATTTTCAATCTGTTATTCACTCTTTGTCTACTGCTGATTTCAGCTTTTCTTTTGTAGAGAAATACCTAAATAAACATACATTATATTGAGCCATGTCAATTGGAAACTAACAAAAGAAGTAGGTAGTATATCACAAAAGTATAAAGATCATGACATTTAATTTAAATTTTTACTCACTGAATTCAGGAGAGTAATTTGATATAGAGGGCTGCTTATGATCATCTTTGAATAGCTAATCAGTATCCATGATAAAACATCACTGCTGTTACACCTTTCAGTAAATTTAAAATTATTAAAATTGACATATTGCCAATAAAATGTTTTAACAAGCAGGAACTAATCTAAATTCATGGCTTTAAGCAATCATAAGTAAATTGTAAAAAATGAAAACCTGTTAAATATTCATTGATTACTATGGATTAAATGTTTTTTATCTCTTTCAGTCATATCAATAAGCTAGGATACCCTGAAGTTCCTCAGGTCTCAATTATTGTGAGAATACACATAAAGACATGTAATCCAGATCTTGAATTTACATTCCTTATATAAACAAGAAGTGATTAACTAAATTTCAACAGAACCACTGGAAGAAGTTGGAATTGAAAATCATTGATGCTTTTCTGGTTATAAAATCTATTCAATTGTTTTCAAAATAGCTCTATTACCATTTTGCATCTCTTGATTTTACAACCCTTCCCATCTTTTTGATATGTATAAACATCAGTGTTTCATAGGACCACAAATATAATAAATAACTATAATTGCTATGACTACAAATACTAATAAGCTTGCCAGTAGAAATTAGTAATAATAATAACAATCAACATAAGTAGTATTTTCCAAGGAGATTATCCTTATTGCTGTTCATAATAGCAATTATATTTCTTATACATCTTGAATGATTATAAAGTGAGATGTAAAGTTCCTAAATCCCAGGAAAAACTCAACCACCCAAAAATATTTCAAAAAGTGAATTGAAATTTTTAGATGAAATTCCAAATCAATAAATTTGCAATCTTAGCAAAGCAAACAAGGAAATAACATAAGGCATTTATCTAAACTGGACAAAATAAAAACAGACATTTTAATATAAGGAAGTTTATGACCAAAAGCCTTATGGTATAGAGATAACATTGAAAGAATCAATATGAAACTAAAAGAGAAGAGTTTTCATCAGTTTTGTGGGATTGTACTAGAGGCACTAATCAACTCCAAATGAATTAAGAATCTCACCTCACAATGTCTTCTTTCAGACAAGCAAAATAGCTTTCACTTCTCTAGATCAACTACTAATGTATTAATGATTATTGCTGAAAGAGTCTATCAAGCTTTAAATGCTAATGATAAAGCTTGGGCTGTTGCTTTGGATATCTTGAAGGCAATACAACAGGTTTTGACATGCTGGTCTTCTTCACATGCACAGAGTGATCATTACATAAACACCATGTAAACATCAAAATCATCAACCTGATCATGAACTATTACAAAAAATTAAAGTTAAGAGACGCATCCCAAAGTTCATATAGGAAAAAGAAATAATAATGGCCTGCATGATATCTGCAATAAGCTTGTTATGAAATTTGTAGTAAAATCAACCAAATATGGATGCAGAGACCCAGCATATTCTGTCAAAAAATTCAAAGTCATTAGGGGCAAGGTTGTCAACAAATACAGATTCAGAATAAACAAGGTAACAATTACAACTCTAAGCAAGAATTCAGTTAGAAGTCTTGGAAAGATATTTGACCAGAGTTTGAGGGGCAACAAACCAATAACATAGATGGAAAAAGTCTCTAATCATGACTGAAAAAGACTGATAAATCTATGTTACCAAAACAGCATCCGGTAAGGGTCCTGTAGCCCCTAATGATATTCAAAGCCCCAATTACGAAACTGGAAAGAAAGATAAACAGATACCTCAGACGATGGTTGGGAGTGCCTAGAAATTTGTATAGTATATGACACAACTCTCTGCGACTACCTTTGAAGAGTCTAGAAGAAGAATTCAAGGTGAAGTGTGTGCATAAATTAACAATGTACAAGACATCAAAGGACAACAAAGTAGACACAGCAAGTATTGGGATGAGCTCAGGAAAGAAACAGCAAGCAGCAAGAGAGCTAAAAGTTGTAGAGGAGTAAGACACAAAACCATCTTAGGAACAGTGACAAGGCTTTGGGTGTCAACCAAACAATCAGTACAGAAAATCGACTTGGAAGGAAATGAAGACAGTTCCTCCAGGAGGAAATATGGGCAGCCTCTGAGGAAACATGTAGAAGTAAGTTAGTAGGAATGAGTTAACAGGGTGCATGTGCAAGATGGGATGATGCAGCAAAAAATCACCTGGCCAGACATTTGGAGCATGGACTATAACCACATCTGCTTTACAATATGAACTTGCATAAATGGGGCAAGGAAGATCACCCAACTTGTTACTTATGAAAGAGCAGAGGGATGATACAAGATATCCTAAGTAACTGCCCAAGCAGACTTTGGGACGAAATATAAAGGTATGATGAGGTACTGTGAACAATCGCAAATTTATTTGAATTATCAATATGCAACAACAAATATCAATCAGAAAGTTCAATAAAATTTGAAAAGGCTGGAATAAAAGAAAGACCTACTCAGAGGCCAAAACATAATTACCTAACCAAAGCACCCGTTTGGCAGATGAAAGTAAACTTAGGAAAATAACTGAAATTTCCAGAACACATTATAAAGACATCCCTAAGACTAGACATCATAATCTTTTTTCAAAATTTACGAAAAAGTTACTAATATATGAATTAACAATTCCTTAGGAGGAAAATATATCACAAGCCCATAAAAGAAAACTCAATAAATTCCTGGAGTTAAAGGAAAAAACATTACCAAACATTAGAAATAGGATGAAGGAGGTTTGCACTATCATCACTAAGCAAAGCAATATTGGACATGGGCAGTAATGAAGCATCAAAGATAAATTGTCATAAAGAAGTATCTGAAACCATTGAGCAAGCCCCAACATAGATATGGTTCAAATGAAAATGTCCTTGGAAGACAGTAGATCCTTTTAAAAAAAAAGTATACATAAAACAAAAGACAATCCATAACCAAACATACTTTGTTTTTTTTTAAAGAAGGGTAGCAATTTGATTTCTGTTTCCTATTGAGCAATTTCCTTCAGTTGGGGTCAATGGTGGTAGGTATGGGATGTTGATCAAAGCCAGTGATCAACATTTGTGGTGTATTTTCATTGATCTCTCTGATTGACTGGTTTTTCTCTTTAGGGAGAATCAGTCATAGAGGCTCTTGGAGAAGGATGAAAATTGGTGTGTTGCATCCTTTTTTTATATTAGTATTATTAGTATTTATTTATATAAGTATGATGATCCAAGAACTTAGCTAAAATATTGATAAGAGCATCATCAGTTTTTTCTCTGCATAGGTTGAAGAACAGAGCATACAAACTGACCCTCTGTGTAATTGGTCTCTCTAGGAAATTCCAAGCCAACATTTCCACATATGCCAATGGCATATCCATTTTTGTGTTGTGTCACAGTGACATTGAGGTGATGCAGAAGGTGCTTGAATTGGATGAGAATTTTACAGAGGCCAAGATTAATTGTGACAAGTCTTCTGAATGTGTTTGTGCTCTTGGAGGGGTGTTGCTCTTCCAGGCCCCATCAGTTGAACTGACAGTCCTATCTGCATTCTTAGTGTGGTTCAGGCTCAATCTACAGCTGGAGAAAAATTGGCTGGAAGTACAGGCAAAGGTAGGAGTGTCAGTCCATACCTGGCTCTGAAATTGGTTGTTCTTAAAGGATAGGGCTGTGGTGTGTGCCATGTATATCTTTACTCTTATCCTTTACTGGTTGTCAGTACTTCCTCTTTTTGATGCACGTTTGAAGGTGCTTGAGTACCTGCTTTACTCCTTGTTGTGAAGGAGGTGGGCCAATGGCCTGCAGAGACGTCTGTGTCCAAAATCTGTGTCATGAGGTGCTGGGAATGCCGCTGTGGCTGACTTGGTTTTTCAGCATATGAGTTGCACTCATTCTAATTTTGAGCATCAGCAGAGAATTATCTCAGTAACCCTGATTTTTTCCTTACCTGGTGATTGGCTCGAAGTTTTCTACCTCTCAATGACATAGGTTTCATGGTGACCTTGGCAGACATGCCTGATTACCACTGGTGTGATCGTGGGTTGGAAGAGCTAATGCACCCATTTTAGGACCATGTTGGTGAGTTGACGGCTCATATCAATCACAAACATCTTGCGTACCTGTGTGACAATGTGTCACAAAATGGTTGGTGTTTCTCACACTGTTAGCTGTTAACATTAGATTAAAAATATGCGAAATGAGAAATCATAAATGGAAAAACAACTGTATGCACATTGGAAGAGAGAACAAGAATTACAAACAAAATTTTGCAAAATCTTTTAATATAGTTTCACAAAGGACATCCAAAGAAAGAAATGGAATCTCTGTTAACAGCATAACAGAACCAACTATAAAAACAGACAAAACACTGCAAAATGTTTCCTGTGGAGAATAAGAAAATTGCCAATCATACAATAAATAAATGCAACAAATGAATTGAAAAATCGGTACAAAAATAGGCATGACTGGGTAAGAATAATAATCCACTGAGAATTATTTAAACAATTAAAATTTGACCATATAAACTAATGGTCTATGCTAAAAACCAGAAACAGTCCTGAAGAATTAAAAAAAAATCAACAGAACTGTAAAAACCAGTACATGAGACTGGATGGATCTAGTCATTGGGAACAAATAAAATTTTTCAGTATATTTCACTGTTCCAGCAAACCACAAAGTGAAACTGAAGAAATATCAAGACTGTGTCAAAGTTCTGTGATGTCAACAAACACATGTTGCTACTTTTGTAATACTCGTTGTCACTTTTGTAATGCTCGTTGTAGTAGAGACTTTGTAATTGCAGATACAACTATAGTGCGCTGTTGAACAATACTTCTATC